TTAAAATAAAACAATATATTTTTATTATGTGTATAGTATAATACTATTAAAATATTTTAATCATAATAATATATATGAATATGACACTTTTGAAACTGCGAAATTTGATACTGGACACATAAAGTATACTATATTATAGATACCATATGACTTATCGTAAGTAATAGAGGAAAACTCACATTATCAGTAACATGTGATATCACACATAACACAAATGTAAATGTTAAGTRTATATCTAATCAAAATACTATTAACATATTATATTATTATAATGATATTTTTTTATAGTAATGTTCTATTCACATTATGTTAATCTATATTAGATACTGAAACTCCTCACTTTTTGTCCTTGACAAAAAAAAAAAACCGTTGCCTATATTAAAATGTATTTYCTACTTATACAAATAGAATAATCAATACTAATAATAAAATTAGTTTAAATTTTTATTGAATCGCATACGTCTCCGTACTTAACAATACGAAACAAGTCAGGTTTTTTTGTAGTTTATCTTCAGTTTGCTAATGTCAAATACCTATCGTTAGTTTCAGCGTTATTAATGTTTGATATTATATTGTAATTAATCACCTATTAAATATTTAATTTTTGAAGAAATAGCCCTTGATTGGTGCAATAGATACTAAAAATGTATGTTATTGTTTTCGAGTTTTAGTTAATAAATAGTTGTGTCACACACCACATTACAACTTGAACAACATAATACCTAAATACATTATAATATATTATACGCACTACACGTCTGCGCATAATGCATTAATGCCTTTACTTATATGTTGTAAATGTTGTAATAGTTATATCAACTATAGAACGGTAATGTGCGTGGTATGCTACGCGTACTTTGATTTTATAGTAATATAATATATACCTAATATATAAATGTATAAAATAGTTAGGTATAGCATAGATATAAAATATGTATCATATCAGAAATAGTTTTTAGTCATAAAAACAAATAAATCTAATCTAATACAGAGGTACAATCCTTATTATAAGTTCGAAATGTGGAAATGCGTTTAGACGATAGTAACGAAATATTATCGGRCATTCGAGCTTCATGTATCATGATTCAATTTTTACATGTCAATAATTTTATCAAAACWAAAAATGCAATGGAAAAMTAAAGTTATCATATCTCATGTGATAAATAATTCAACGGTCTACCAAATACCATAMAAATCATATTGAAGAATATCTATACCTATAGTATCTACTTACATATTATTATYATGAAAATATATAAATCGACATCATGCGATATCGTAAAGTACATTATATGTACCTATACATTATATTTTATTATGAACACCAACTGCTAGCATATTGTTATATATTTTTAATATTTTTCAACKTTTAGTGTTACTTCTATCGCAGGCTTCTAAATTTGAAGCCAATTACTGCCCCAAAAACTATGTGATGATGTAAATTGTAACATATGTTTATTGTTTGGTCTGTGTGAGCATGATAATAATATTACGACAGTTCTGATACTAAAMTCCATGCTATAAATAGATATAAACTTGCAGCTAAAGCCACTTAAGTCATTCCGATTTTAAACATTTTCCACTGTTGCCCAAAGCAGGATACTGTTTGYGTTTCAAACACAAATTAATTTTATAAAATTATTTTCTATGAGATAGATTATATCTTGGAAATTGGAAATGAATAGAATGTATTAATATAAAATCAGATGTCAACAGTAAGATGAGTGTTTTTATTCTATTCAATTTGAGTACGTCATCATACACAGCACGTTGGTATAAGACCTGCTGTTAACTGTCATACGTTTTTTTTTTTATTTAATATTCTAAACTTAAATGGTTTTGCTTACTTTTATGTACGGCTGGGTTTACCATTAGTCACTTAGTCACTTAGTCACTTAGTCACTTAGTCACCTATAAAAAAAACTGCAGGGCCTAACCGCGCTCACTATTATATGTACCTATACCTATTTATATTTTATATATTAATATAAAGAGTACCAATATAGTTATCGACCATTTATCAATTGAAACTCAAGCCCGTGAATAAAAATAATAATAACAAAAGCATTACAGTACAGTACACCGTCGCGTATAGCTACACGCATTTAGTAGATAACTATAAATTATTAGTTTCTCTTATATCCTTTTCACATTTTATTACCAAACATTTTTTTTTTCATTTTTCCAACAAGAATTTTTCGACCACTTTCTGTCGACTGTACTTAACTCCTAAGCATCCTTCCATCAGGTGCTCGGCACAAATGGTTTGATCCAACCCCGTACATAATTATAATATTATTTCAGTATTATTATACAGAAATAAAAAACGCAACATTGTGGTATACTATATAATAATATTACATACATAATAGCAGCGYAATAATAATGTGATTTAATCATACATTATACATTTATACCTACACGATGCCTATATAATAATATCGTATAATTGTATAATTGTTTACAATATTCGTGTATAATAAAAATATGGGCCACACATTATTGTTCGGTGCCCAATAATATAAACAGCGGTGTTTAATATTTTAATATTATTATTGTTGTWTTTATTAATATTATGCGTATTTGTGTTTATAGTGTACGTACCCAACGGTATCTTTTCCATTGAAATCATCGCGCACTGCACGTGTTAGCGGGCCCACTCGGTCGGAGAGCGAAAACGTATGTGGTKCGTCTACAGGCGGCGAGCGTATAATATTATTATTGTCTCGTGCAACCGTTCGCGTGCGCGCGCGCGTAACGTTTTGCGCGCTCGACCGCGGGTGGGCGCGCGTTTTCGCGCGGTTCGTCATCGGCGCGACAGAACGAAAGAGAGACGTCATGACGAAAACGAGAGGGAATGAAACGAGAAAAAAATTGTGAGCAAACGCTAAACGCACTGGCGCGACGACTYCTCGCTATTGCGATGTATGGGAAGGGGTATTTCTATCTTCCCCCCCCCACCACGGCACCAAAAAAGGACGTCTATAGTTACGGGCTCACTAAGGTTTGGAAAATTAATTGAATTTTTTATCGTTCGATCGTACTTATATTACTCAATTGTGTTTTAAACAGACGCGTAGCCAGGATTTTTTTAGCGTGGGGTAGTATTATAATTTTATATTTTAATCAATCAGTATTCATAAAAATAATACCTATTAGGTAAATGTAATATAAACATATCACGAGGCCATCGTGTATCTTTTAAATATCTAAAACATACAAAGTGAATTTTTTGCATAAAAACGGCCGATTTGGGGTGGTAACRCCCAAAATATCCCCTCACTACGTCACTGGTCTCGATCAGTTTTGTATCACAGCAGCAGCCAGCAGGGTTCTGCCTGCACTCCTCCAGTAACCCTTAAATCGCATTACACAGCTTCACGCCCACGTTCAGAATATCTGCGGCACATATTGTATCGTTATGTGTAGGTTGTATATCTAATAGGTTGTATATCTATACCTTCTGCCGGAACTGAATGGGTGATAATATTATTATAGTGACATATTATTATAATTCTAACGCTATGTGTGGAATATATTTTAATAATATTATTCGATCAATGACGAT